ACGCGCGTCCGCGATTCACTGTTCTCATAATATTTATGGACCAGCGAGGATTAAATTCCTCGTACGGGCCTCCTGATTTTTAACGTTCGGAATAACAAACAAACGCGACATTTAACGGCTCTCCTACCGTCACTCGAAATTGTGGATACTCGAATCATCACTCGGGACAACGTTCTATGATGACATTAACATCTCGGGAGCATAAACACGTGAAATATATGTTTCAGCAATAAAAAGATAAAATTGTAGTAAATCATAATAATTTATTAAAATCTCTGTTAATCTCTGTAAGACATCTTTCTTTACTTATGACGCGATTATGACGAGATTTCGTAAATCGAGTAGTTGAATAATAATCATAATACTAATATCCATTTCCAGCAATATTAATCTCGGTTTAATTTACTCTTTATTCTTTTTTTTTCTTAGAACTAGAAAAAGATAAAAAGTAAGTTAAATCAAGATTAAAGTTAATTTATAACAGTAATAGAAACGGGCATAAATCTATTATTTCTCTTTCTTTTTTTAGTAACAATAATTTATATTACTAACTATTCTGATAACCATTTCGGTAAATGTACAGGAGACCCCGTCCACCTCAAAATGGTACAAAAATACACTGAATCGATACGTTTTCGCGTAAAAATAAAGCTTCAACAAGAAAAAAGTGTCACTCTGCTCCGCGAACTGAGTTCATTGCTAATGCAAGAATTTGTGTATTTAAAGCAGTGAATTTTTGTTTTTGAAACAATATTTTGTGTTTTTAAAGCACTGCATTTTTGTGTTTTTGAAGCAGTACTTTTGTGTTGAAACATATTATGTTACATATAAATATTAAAGCCTTTAATAAAATATATTAAATATATTGAAACATTAAATGTAAATGGTATAATGCAGAAGTGTTAATGGAAATATCAATGTTCACCTAATCTGAATAGTGTCGTCAATTTTAATGCTTAATAACTCGATTCGCGGAGCAGAGCGACACTTTTTTCTTGTCAAAGCTTTATTTTTACACGAAAACGTATCGATTCAGTGTATTTTTATGCCATTTTAAGATGAATGGAATCTCCTGTACATTTATCTATTCTGAATATAAATAATTACAGGGTGATGTGACAAAGTAAGTTAATGTCCGTTTCCACTAATGTAGATTAATTTTAATTTCAGTTCAACTTCTTCATTATTTTCTAATTTTTAGCGTATACTAGTCGTAAGGCCGAAAATTCATAAATTAAAATAATTGTTTAAGCAAAGGGATATCTGTATAAGTTGCAGCCTTGGCCATAAGTATAAAGCATCCCTAAAAATTTACGTAAACGCTCTATGTCTAATGAAAAAGGAATTAAGAATCAAAGGAAAGAATCATAATACGAATTATAATTCGTATTAGGCCAATGATGAATATATTACTCTGGTTCTGTTTTTATGATTGCGTTTCAATACCGAAAAAGATTTTCAGTATATCGTATGTGTATATAATAAATTCACTTTGAAATATTGAAGCACTAAAATCCGCTTTGACCGAAAATAGGCTTATTTCTCTTAATTAAATTAAAAATCAGTTTTATTAAAAAATAATATTTATTTTTTATAATAATTTAAAAATTTTATTATCTCTCTTTCTTTTAGTTTTTATAAGTATTCTTTTGAAGGAATACACGTTGAGGGAATAAATCGAAGGTGCTTTATACTCAAATAGCCAAGGCTGTATAATTACAGATGACCGAAGTAGAAATCGACTCGAAACGAATCGCGAACGACGGTATCTCGAATGAATGACTGAATGACGATTGAATTTTATTCGGACATCGTAATGCACAAATCTTCCTCGGTTCGTCCTTATCTCAGCTGAGCGACATAAACCACCCGGTGCACGCCGAATAGCGGGCACGCATTTGTAACTCGGCGTGACTAACGATACTCAGGCTGGTGCCGACGCCGATTGGTTCGTCGTTCCCGGTTCTCGCGACACAAATTTTGCGAGACGGATATATATATATATATATATATATACTCCGCACTTTCTTTTATTCGGCCTCTTCTCCTCGAGGTTTTCTCCTAGCGCAATACCACCGCTTCCCTTTTATTTTGTGGCACTGGCATTATATGCAGACAGAATTATCGTGTAACGATCCCCTTCGGCCTCTTCTTGCCCTTCGATTTCTTTCGTCTGCTCTTCTCCTCATACCTCACTCTTATATCTCTTTGTCGAAATAAAACTTTGCCGAAAGAATGATGTGGATCTTCCCAGAAACGAAATAAATATTGAAGAAATATAAAAAAGATGAATTTTGTTATTTATAATATGGAAGTCGAAACTGCTGGATAAACAGGAATATTTCCCTATCACGAAACAAATAATATTTAATAATATAAGGTTTATTTTATTTTCTCTGACCTTCTTAATGAAAAAAATTCGATGTGTCAGGTTGCAATTATATTAAACGACGATTATATTCTTTTAATCCTCTTAAAGAAGATGCTATACGATTGGTTGTGTATTGAGTAATAAGAAACGAAAAATATCTGTTTCAGTAGAGAAAGGTGCCCGGAGTGCGATTTTGGCTGCGAAGGAGATCGCGGCATCGCCGAGTAATTACATGGCACACGAGAGACTGTCGTACGCGTTTAGCGTCTGGAGAATGGAAGGCGATTGGAACAATACTACGTAGGCTATAGACTATAAGGCTAGGATAATTAGGAATAAAAATTTAGCGAGGTAAGATGGCGAGAAACCGGGAACATTCTCGAATCTAATTTGAGAATATTTTGTTCCTCTTGAGAGAAAGGATGTATACTCTATACCTGTATGCTTGCGAACACACGCGCACACACAATTAAGTACAGGATATTCTAGAAATTGTAATACAACAAGGAGATGATTCTTCCGTAAAAGTATAAGTCGAAAACATAGAGTAAACACGGTAAACACCACAATCTGCTAAGATTCACTAAATCTGACTATATGTTATTTTTATGACTGTGTTCCTCCATTTACTGTTCGTATTGAAAGCAAAAGTTCGTAACGCTACATTGAGAAAAAAAATTTGTTCAATGAACTAAACACATTTAGTTGTTTGCAGATTTGGTTAATTCAACAAATTTCATTTAATCGAATTTAACTGTGGTCTGCTTAACAAATTGTTCAATGTTAAGCGGACTAAAATTCAATTAAATAAAATTTGTTTAATCTTAAATTTAAGTAACTTAAAAATGAACAAAATTTAAATTAAGAAAAAAGAGTCGGCGTCATGATCTCGTTCAAGAAAAATCCGCTTAACAAACTGTTTAATGTTAATGCAAATGAAATAGCGCTGTGAACTTTTGTTCATGACTTAATACTGAAAATCTGCAGCATACATTACGTGCATTATAGATTTTCAACATTAACAGTAAATACAGTGAATATTAAAACACAGTCTGTATGTCAGTCTGGATTTGTTATATTAAAATAATGTAATCAGTTACGAGAATGTATTTATTTCATTAATTGAAAAATTATTAAAAATATCGATAAGAAAAATTTTTTTTTATATTTTTGATTCGTTTTGAAGAGATGAAGAAAACTTCTTTCCTACAATTTCCGGAATATCTTGTATATTTTTTTTAAGTTCGTTGTCTCTTGTCAAAGACGTGGTGACCTCTTCTGTCACAGATACGTAAATGATACAAAAATGTTAATGTAAAAATTGTGTGCGTATGTGTAGATATGTATATATTGGTTATAAATATATTTTTTTATGCTAAAGCAAGTTAAGCACATTAAAAGTAAATTATTTTTACTAATGAATTATTTTTACTAATGAATTTTTACCAATGAATTTTTACCAAAGAATTTTTATCAAAGAAAAATGATATATACAGAATGGAATATTTAATAACTTAAGATATTTTTATTATACATAAAATTACTGAAAAATTTTAAACAAAGGTTTCACAGTCGGGAGAAAATATACGAAATGAATTCTGTATATAGAAGTTTATCATAAAATATTTACATCGTTGATGTATTGTTTATAGATATTTTCTACTCACTCTTATAGCTACATGGTACACGAACGATTCAATCGCGTCATTAAAAGTAATGGAACAAAGTGCATGATTCAATTCTTTTTACGACTGAATTAGCAAACTAATAAAAAAAGTGTTTCTTCGTCGGAAATCCATACTGCAAATAAATTTCTGGCGTTATAAAACTACGTACATTCACTAATATCGGCGACTTTAGCCCGTATTCTGTAACTTTTAATGACAGTAACGATATCGTTACAATAGATCTGTTCGCGTTGCTTGAAATCTAAAAAAATTTCTTTACTTAAAATTAGATAAACATATATTCGGACGTTAAAGAGAGAGAAAACGAAGATGCTAAGTGAAAAGTGCAAGCAACGTGAAAGAGCTATTATCGTTGCGCAGGTTTTATACATATTATAAAAGAAGCTGCGCAATGACGATATAACGATATCGTTACTATCATAGACAAATTAAGATTTACAGAACAGTAGTCTCGCTACCTACATAATTAGGGAGCGATTGAGTCTCGTCCGTGTAACTTTTATGAAAGTATTAAAATAAGAGTAACAATCAATAGTTCATTTTACGAGATAAAATTAAAAAAAAATTTTTTTTTTTAAAGAAGTAACAAAAGCTTACGAAAAATTTTGTACTTTTTTTACACTATATTTTGTCTTTTGTCTTTTTTTATACTATATTTTGAGATATAAAATATAAATATCTCATAAAATATTCATTTTTCTATGACCTACCATAAATGCTTATTTGCGCACAGAATAATAAGATAAATTAGGTGATGTAAACAAAACACATAATTGTTTTAAAAAATGTATATTATAGATATTTAATTATAAATTGCAAATATATCTGTATAAAGATATTAAAAAAGGAAAAATGAATAATTTACAAGATACTTCATATTTTTCTTCCGAAACTATGAAACTTTTATTTAAAATATTTTCACGTTTATGTATTCCACACATAACAAAGATAGCTATTTCAAATCATCAAAATCCAATAAACCACACGGTATGAAATACCGCGTACGATTAAAATGTCCCTGCAGCATTACTCCCAGAGACTCTCGCTTAGTTTCTTTTTACGGGATCCATTATTTTCAGAATGAAGCTTTACAATACGAAGCACGGTAGATCCGAGGCACTCTGTGATTCCTGTGAATTGAAAGCAACTTGAGAAAGAGATGAAACTCGAACGTTCGCTCGTTAATCCATTTTTCCGTACAGCTTGATTTAAAGAAAGGAAATTGATCCGCGCCAAGAGTGCGATTCGAAGATCAGGAGAGCCAGCTCTCGACGGGATGATCTCGCATGCGGTGGATTATTGTCCCGCGGATTGGTCTTACGATCTGCGCGAGGTAATAACGCGCTCTTTCCGGCACGGCCTTTGAAACCCAATTCACGACAGTTAATTCTGTCCCGGCTGATTCCCGGCGACGCGGCATTCAGTCGCTCGCTCGCTCGTGGTAGCGTAGGCCAATAATTCACGTCTTCTCGTCGGACTATTAACAGTGCGACAACTCGGACGCCGATATGGCCGACGGCGGCAGCCGCAAAAGCGCGCGCTTATTAGCCCACGTTGTGCGTTATGCATCTGCATCAATCAGCAAAATTACATCTTGTAATTTCCCCTCCCCAACTTCTACTTCGTTCTCTTCGTTGGAATATTCGATAATCTCCAACTACCGTTAAGCTGTGATCAGACTTGAGATTGAGATTACATCGCTGCAAATTTATGTATATAAAAAGTGACTACAATACCTATATGTGTGATTAGTTTTCCGTGTAAAAATAATACACTGTATTTTTGCATTAAAAATGGATTTACACATTTTAAACGTATAATATAGTCATTTTTATAAGGAAAATTGATCATACACATATATTGTAGTCACTTTTTACACACTTGGATTTGCAGTGATTGGAATTTAACCAATCAGAAGAAAGAAAACTAATCTCAAGTTTAGTGACTTTTGCTTTGATTGGTTAAATTCCAATCTAATTTCAATCTCCAGTTTAATCACGGCTTTAAACCTATTCTACAACTGCGTAAGTGTAGTTGTAAGTGGTTGTAGTTGTAAGAATTGACCAATCACAGTCGAATATTCTACTTGTATTCGGCTGTGATTGGTGAATTCTTACAATTACGCTTACGTAATTATAGTATAGGCTTGACGCAAGCAACTTGGGCCAAACTTCTTTTCCCGAATCCGCTAGCTAGAGCGAAGCCGTCGATTTTACTCTCGGAACTATTTTGTTCGCGACGACGGACCGGTCGATCATCGTTGGGATTCCCCCGCGTCCATTTTCCGTTTTGACTACCTCTCGAGAGCGCGTTGCAGCCCGTTAACGGCGGATTTACGAGCGTTTACCCGGTCTGTCCAAACAATCTCTGCGCGGCGATTTATCGAGTCTCATAAGCTCGCCCTCGCGAGCGCTCTCGCTGCGAATTTTTGCCGATAAACCGACTCGAGTAAAACGCGAACGCCGAAAACGACTGAATGCCGCGAGTACCTCTCGTTTTATTCGGACGTAAAACATTTTAAATGCTATTCTAATAATCCGGGGCGAAATGCAACTACTTCCAATGCACAAGTTTCCGAAAATCTTCAGGCTTTATCGGCGTCTTTATCTTATGATGAAAAGATTTTGAACGCATATATCTCCTTAAATAAATTTTCATCGAAAAGGTGGACATTTAACAATAATTACCACACTGAGAAAAAAAATGTTTATTCGACTAAATTAATTTAGTTTGTCTTTATTTCTTTCGGTGGAGAATGTATGTATTTAAGTCACATATAATATGTTTGACTTAAATACATACATTGTTCATTGAAAGAAATAAAGATGGACTAAAAATTTAGTCGAACGAACAATTTTTTTGTCAGTGCATGTTTGTGCTCATCTATGAGATGCCAATCGCACATCCACGTTTAATAATCGCCGGACCATTCCTTAAAGAAATGGGAAGGAATTAACGAGTATTTCGGCGCCCATCGGTCGGGCACAATATTATTTTTTTCTACCGAGATGACAGTCGGGGCTCCCTCGTCGCGTAACGCATATAAAACAACCGCGGCGTGGCTCCGGTACTCGCGCGCGGCCGCACCGTGAATATTCCGAATGGCGTTAGTTATTTTAAACCGGTCAAAGCAAACTTTCGGTCGCGTTTTAAACCGCTTAACGAAGACGCGCCGCATCGAAGAGCCGTCCTCCTCCTTTTCCCCTCGCTCTCTCGAGCCTTATCGCGACAGTGAATCTTCGCGAAAAAAAATCTTGCGATCGAGAGGCATCAGAGAAAGAGGCGCGCGATTCGGTCGAGCGGATCTCATACGAACGAGACTTGCGTCGCGTTAAAATATACATTCTCTCTTTTAACTTAATCGTAACATTTCCGAATTGATAATATATCGTTGCATTGATAGAAAAGTGACATATCTCAAAATTGGTAACTTTTCAGTACATTTTTAAAATTCTGATGAATTGGTACATTTTAATTGGAACAGTGAATGTACGTATCTTTATTTTTTTCCATATTATATCTTTTAATTATATGTATTCAATTATATGCATTCTTTAAAATCCTATTTATCATTAGTTTTTCAAATTTAAACATTGCATCTAATGCTAATTTTTTACTTTCAATTATATGTATTTAATTATATTCTTAAAAATTGTGTCATGAGTTTTCCAAATTCGAGCGACTAATACTAATTTTTTTACTTTCAATTAAATGCATTTAATTATATGTCTTCTTTAAAACTATGTCATGAATTTTTTTTTTAATTTCAACATGCAATCCTAATGCTAATTTTTTATTTGTGTCATTTTTCTATCAATGCGATATTTTTAGAGTCGCGAAACGGCTCTAAAAATATGTTAATATATATAAGGTAACAGTACGGATTATGAGGAGGTGATCGCGAAATATATTACGAACGAAGAAATATCACGAGTTCGCCAAATTGTCATTAATATTGTTATCTCATTCGCGTACCTTCCACGTCCCCCTTTTCTCCCTATGTTCCACGATTAACTGAGATCTAGCGGACGCTAGTCCGGAGTTCGCGCGATTAGCACCGGCCGGGTCTCCTCGCTATTCCGCTAACGTTAATTGGCCCGGTAAAAACATTTATCTACGTTTCGGTCGGCGACAGTCCTGAGAGAATCTCGACAGCGGGTCCAACAGCGCTGCTCTCCTCCGTGCCTTACTTTTTATTCGTTGCGCAATGTGCCGGTGCCGACCATAAATCTCTTTGAATTCAATTAGCCAAGACACATCCGAGACGTTCGGCGTCCCCTTCGCCCCTCCGGCAGGGTCTTTTTGGGCACCCCCGTCCGATGACGCTCCTCGCAGAGCTGCAAAAACAAACCTGATGCGTCCGTCCTCGTCGACGGGACGAACGTCGCCCGATCTAAGGCCGGAGTTGACCGTTAAAAATCCGTCTTGCAGTCGTTGAATAATCCGTATATATATATCCAGAATTATAATTTACTGATTTATTCAGCAGATTGCTCCATTCGAGAGGTCGGAACTTTGCAGCTTTAACAAACAAAATGTTGAGAGGCTGAGAGAGACTTTCGATCTTAATTTCCTGAGAGAGCGTCCGCTTGAGATTCTGCCAACTCGATCAAGCCCGACAATTTTTCGAACGTTTCCCTCGAGGAACCTGATGGTTCCCTCGGGACGGTCCCGGCTTCTCCTACTGCATCCTATGTATCCGTGGCATGGCGGCGGCAAAAGAAAAACGACGAGAATGACCATGACAGCTGCTTCGCTTCGCGGGAGCCTTAGACAACGAGCCGTGCAGCGACGCATGGATCCAAGGACGATCCGAAAGAGCTCTCTCAAACCCCGTTTCTCTCGCGTTGGTATATCATTGCTGGTATCCCCAAAAATAATTTTCACGAGCGAGCGAACGAGCGAAGACTCATCTGTCAGGGCGCTGACAAAATGTTCACCGTGTATCTACAAAACAATGTTTTGAGGATCCAATCGTCGAAAATGTGATTGACATCGTCGCACCGGCGATTGCAAAGATTTTAGATTTTTCGCGGGAATAATTCCAGACGTGTCTTGTAGGTTTTCTTTTTATATATAGATATAATTACTTAAAAAGGGAAGAAAACGATAATTTGAAAAAATTTATCGCTATTGTGTTTAACTGCCTCGAGGAAAGGCTTCACCTAGCTTTCAGGTAACAATTTCGTGTATTATTGTTAGTACGAGAAAGATGTCGTTTAAAAGGAAGAAGGGATAATTTAAAGAAACTGCTTATATAGATTTAATTATATCGAGAAAAAGCTCCGCGCGTAGCTTCCAGACAACGGTTCCATGTACTTGTATTAGTAATGGACTACTGCTGATTGTATCAATTTAACTGTCTTTCTCTGAGGAAAGGCTATTATTCGGGTAACAATCTCGTGTAGCTTTGCCAAACGAATTAGAGATTTGTATAAAGCAGCCATTTTGTTATTTCTCGAGATTTTCTTCAGCTTTACCGCGGTTCTCGTTTGCCGAATCTCCGTTTAATATGAAACAAAATACATGTTAAAGTACAACGAGCGTTAAAATATAATATAATATAGATAAAACGACGAAAAATACGATATGTAGATCACATCTCTTGACCGCGTAAGCGACAAGATTCGGAGAGTAGCAGTGTGACTCCGTTTCTCGAAGGTCTCGCAAAATGACCGCCGCTGATTTGTGCAAAAACCGTATTCAGTCGCTCGACAAAGGTATACGAAACTGTTGCTTTGCGTATATTTTAAATATGAATGTAACACAGAGCTATAATTTACGACTTTACGAGAAACGCAGGAAGGAAGCGATCCCGCCTGGCTCGTTCGTATCACGCAGCTCTTTGCTGTAATATAGAGATATACATTTATTTGCGTTGCGACGTTACATAAGCAGTTACATTTATTTTCGTTTCAAAATAAGAATGCTGTGAATTCACGTAGGCTCTCTTCTGCGGTTCAGTTCGAACGTATGTTTTCTTACGATTCGGTGAAACTGACACCACGTGGCCGGATAAATGCAATAATTTATTCATCCTGTGGTATATTGACGCGAACCGGCGAGTGCTGTGTATCACGCATTATCACGATTGGTGCGAAAGGTTCGTCGTTTCTCTCGAGAAATTCTCGCATCAGATAAAGTTGGAAGACCGAAAACTTTTTGACTCGGAGATTGAACAAATTCTCTCGAGATGAAAAAAAGAAAGGCTGGGATCTTATTTCGATTTTGCGAATGCATTTTTAATTTTATTTGAGAAGCACGATGAATCTCCCGCACCAAATGTAATATGCATCTTTCCCTGCTTCTGTATATACGCGTTACATATCATGTAACACGATCGTAGATAAGCGCTTTGTAAATAATCTTTCGATTTTTAACGAAGACTTTAAGCGAGACGACATCTCACTATCCATTCCCTTGACTCGATGCTACTTGTATTTTGCTTATTTATCCGGGCGACCTTTTTGCTCGCGCATTTTTAATGTACAATATTTTTATACTGTTGCGATTATTGCAGAAATATAGAAAGGAGTTATAAGAAACTAAGCGACAACAACAAATAATAAAGGAACAATGAATAAGTATGTACATATGTATTTCTATCTTTTTAAATATTAACCTACTTTTTTATCTTACACAGGACATTCTAGAGGCGACTAATTACAGATTATATAACGATTTATTGATAGAGTATTTGATATAAATTTTGGTTTATTTTTAAACGGTTTTTCTTTAAATGACGAATCAAAATATACGATAAAAATTTCGAGTCATATTTTTATAAATATTAAAAATGTCTGTAAGCTTAAAAGTCTTTTGAGTGTTTAAAAAAATTTTTTCTTTACATAATACATTTTATATTATTATATTTTGATTCACAGACAAATAATATTAATGATATTGCTTTTGAAAGTTCAAATATTTTAAATATATTTTAGATATTGAAACATTTTTAAAAGAGTCATCCCAATTATTCAGAACTTTCAGATTTTTCGGGATTTCGAAGAATTTCTGACTTCATAACATTCGAAGATTTCATTATATGAAAACTTGAGAAAATCGAGCGAGATCATTGAATTCCATAAAATTAATCATAATTTAAAAGTTCTCTATTATCAATTTTTTATTATCATTTATTTAAGTCGACACTTACAGGAAGCAAGAATTAGCTCAAGACCGATAAAGCTATCTTTGAAGCGACATTAATGCAGAGATTTGAGACGACGCAGGAAATTATTGACCTTCAGCTATTTCACAATAAGCACGGCTTATTGTGGCGGGTAAAATGGACGATTACGCGAGGACTTAACGCGACAGCAAATCTCTTGCCTTGAACGCTCGTGATGTCAGACGTGTGTAACGAGCACGTCTCGCGAAACGTACAAGTGCCGGCGGGATCGTAAATCAAGGAAGGGGGGGTCCAGCGATTGTGGGAAAGGAGATGCATCCGCGGTTACGTGCGAATGAGACGGAGATGAGTGAGCGAGGAGGACAGGAGGACGGAAGAGCTGATAAATAATTTACCGAACGCCGCCCGGCGACGCCGGCGGCCCTAATGGATTATAGACATGCCAGTGCAAATATTATTGCAAGCTAACGGAATCGTACAGTGACGCCCAGCGCGGTGCCATTGGTCTAAAGCCGTGTCATCTCGATACGCCCGCGTCGTCTGCTCCAATCGGAATGGGATGCTGGGCTCCTCTCGCCACTGTACCCTCGGATCCAGAGATGCCCGAAGCGCGAGAATGTTGAATTACCAAGCAATTTTGTAATCGTTACTCGTGCTCACCACTACTCTTCCTGTGTTTCTATCGCATTCCAAATTTATCGTAAACTGAATTTTCAGATTTCTTGTCTTTTATCTCGATTTGACTATATTTCATTCTTGCTAAAGGAGTCTTTCTAAACAGTAGAGGAAGGTCACCGATACTGACATAGGTCTTCTAAAGCAACATCCCTTTATTTCTTAGAAATTAACCTTTGCACCTTATTAATACTAATAAAAACGTGATCTGTTAGCTAATTAAACAAGTACAAATTCATAATTCATATATTTGTGGCTTATTTCTAATCAGCTAAAAACAAATTCTATGAATCCGAGAAGAAAATTCTTACGGTGTTTTTTTGCAAATTGCGTAATTAAAATAATAGTGACTGTATTATTGACAATATTATGTCATTTTAAATGTTTATAGTTTCATAAATTAGTTTTCTTTACAGAATAGGATATATCTTTATTTATAGAATAGGAATGTTGGCATTATTGCCTATTATGTCAGTTTTGGAGCTCATTTTGTCAGACGCTCATTTTTGCATAACTTACGAAAAACTTAATTATTGCAAAAATGTAAACAGTATTATAAAAACTGCTTATACTGTCTGATAGAAGACACTTTTTAGTTTGTATTTATGTTTTTGAAGTTGTATTTTTACCTTTTGTTTAAGAAATATTATTTAAAAACAAAAGTGGTATGTCGGTATCGATGACCTTCCCCTAATATAACATCAATAATATAATTTCACATTTAACAGTATAATTATTATGTACATATATGGTATATTAGTTGTTACATTTATTATTGAGTGTGAAATTATAATATTGTTATGTTATTGTTAGTAGATATTTACTGAATTAAGAAAAGTTAAAAATATAAATTGAAAAATCTTTTCAATTCTTTTCTTAATTCTCAAATATTAAAAAATTTTAATATCTTTCGTATGGAAAGATAACCATATCAGTTCTAAATAATCGGCGGACAAAGATTCAGGAGACTACAAATAAAATACGCATCTAAATATTTTACAGTGAAACATTTTATCGCCGAATGTAACATCATTAATTAAGGCCGATATTCATAATCAGTTCTTATTTCAAGTCATCGTCTTAAGTAATGTTCTAAAGATATTAATACTGGTTTGTGATTGATTTGACATCTTAATAAAACTGTCTTAAGATCCGACTATGAATGTCGGCCTACGTGCACGTATGTGAGTATTTTCAAACAAATTACTTCTGTTTCTTCATTAAAGCTAATTTAATTTCTAGAGTCCGACCGAAACTTTTGCCAAAACTGAACCGAAACACTCGGCTACATGTCAATTTCAACCGAAACTGAAACCAAAATTAAAAAATAAGAATCCTATAAAGACCATATATATAAACATGCCCATATATATCATATACTTTTTCTTCATAATTAATATCAATTTATTGAAATAATAATTACACATACTGAAATTAATATTTATAAAGAAGAGCTATATGGTTTCAATCGAAACTGACATGTAATGAGTGTTCATTTTTAGTTTCGGTAAAAGTTTTGGTCGGACTCTATTAATTTCATTAATCTCCTTAATCTAATTGCGTTGATAAAAATTTTTTAGTATTACTTATTTCATTGTCTTTAATGAATATAGATCTCAGTTCCTTCTGGCACAAAGGACAACTAGGATTATTACTGCAGTATAAGGCTCCACGTATGCGTCTGCGTTTTGTACCGTCATCCGACCTACAACGGCGTGTATACGCAATGGCAAGGTACAAAAAGCAGCAGCGTACGTAACGCGATGACATTAAACATCAGAACTCGTAAAAGCGGCTCACTCTGGTATAATCGGCGTCTGGAGCCGCTGAAAGGATTTCCATCGGCCTCACGCGTTCGTAAATAAAGCGTCACTGGGTGCGCGGTGGGTCCGCTCTATGTTTAGTTTAGGCGGTTTCTCAGATTTCCAGGATCACCATGAAAAGAGAAAGTGCATCAGAGAGAAAGAGAAAAGGTCAGGTTTTCCATTACCACTGCTGTCGAATTACTCCACGCTCGCAATTCCAATCCGATTTCCATTGTCCTGATAAGAAAATAAATCGTGATAAGTGTCTTATTTCTGAATCACAATATTAATGATGAAAAAATACGAAAGTAACCTTAACTTCACTTTTCGTAATTTTAATAATCTACTTTTTACTTTTGTATTCTGAGCTTCTTGCAAGTCAATAAATCTGATTCTTCGGAAGTTTTTTGAAAAAACTGCATTCAACATATGTATTTATTTACTTATTTTTTATGTACATAACACTTTTTTTGATGGGACATTTTTAAATAAAGTTCAATTAGTCGACTATTAATTTGGAGTAAAAATTAAAAATCAGGTTATGCATATAATTTTTTACTATGTATTATAATATTATAATATAAAATCATATAGCTGCAACAGACAAACATTCGACGGGAGAAGAGAATGGCGGCCGAAGGTGTTACGGGTGTCGCCAGCATAAACATCTGTTCCCTGTCTTTTCCTACTGAATCACCACGATTTCTGTCACTCCTTTCGTTTTCTCCGGGATGATGAATCGCCTGTCGTTAGTGGCTGCCACGCGGTTCGTGCATCCCCCTTACATGCGTTCCTCAGCATGTATATGTATTTATATCTGAATAGAACTGAATTCTCTCGATAGCGCGCATTTATTCAGTTTTACCGCCGATAGTAAACCGTTCCATGGCTGAATTATAATTCTCTTTCTCTTTTCTACGGACTTTTCTATGGACTCGGTGATTACTTGGGGAATCATTGTGTCAATTCCAGTACGAGTTCGCGATAAAGTGACCACGTGGATTGAGAGACGTTGTCGCGGATGGAAATAGAAGCGTGAAAAATTCACCGCGGGAAGTCGATGCTTATGTCTTCAGCGAATTATCCTTCAAAGTTTCTTTATTAAAAAAATAAAAAATATACGTAACGTTCTATGATATATATAGGATTCGTACAGAGCATAATGATATATATAATATGTATAGAATATGAAATATGTAGAATAAATGAATATGACTATTAGTTTCATCATTGCTCCAAAAAAAATTAGAGTTCAATAATTTCAACCAAATATTTAGGTAATATAACCAAACATAATTTTATCTTCATAAATATTTATTATTTAGTAAGTATTACCGTTGGTAATATCGTTTGGTACACTGAGAAAAAAATATCCTAAATTTCAATAAAAATTTATTTGAATAGTACCAATTAAATATTTATTAAATATAAAAATATATTTATTTGGTACAAAAAACATTAATTTGATTTAACAATCACTTCTTTTTATTAAGTAAATATTTATTTATTGTAAGTAAATGTTTAGTTGGTAGTATTCAAATAAATATTTATTTAAATTTAGGCTATTTCTTTCTCAGTGTAATACTTACTAAATATTTGTGAATGTAAAATTATGTTTAATTATATTACCTGAACATTTGGTTGAAATTATTTCACTCAACATTTGGTAGCTATAACCAGACACTTTTTCCAATGTAGTGTCGACAAAAGTCTAGGTTTATCATCGTGCGGTTATGTTTTTTTTCATGATATTTAAATATATCTTGTAGAAAATGTCATGTACTTAATATACTTCTACATGATATATTATTTTTTTGTTAGTATCTTTGGGTAAAAGAAAATAAGGTACCTTATTGTGCCACTCCTTTTAGCAATATGGCACAACATGATGTATTAGTTGTTTAAATAGATATTTTTACCCGAACATGTCCGACGAATCTGTAATCCAAAAGTAATAAATTTAGATCTCAGCGAATACCAACTAATAGTAACATAACTATGTTAATTAAAATTTCCAACTCAACAATATATAACTGTTGCAATGCCTTACATGTGTTATATTAGTTATTTTGTTAAGTGGAAAGTTATATAACATATATGTTACTGCTAGTTATTTGGCGCAATATTTGCTGTGGATATAAATAAAAATCATTTGGCATAAAAAGTACTTACTCGCTTAATATATGATGAGATCAGGTACATAATGTCTCGTGAAAATTTATAATTGTTATTTATTTTTCTGGACTGAAATTTATAATTGTCTCGTTTTTCAAGACGCGACAAGGCGCGGCTTGTTAAATTGACAAATCAGGTCGCGCCGGCTCTTAGTCATGATAAATCATTGCCGCGGTACAAGTAATTTTTACCGTAACGTTCCACTCCGTTCTCCCGAAACTCGAAAAAGTATCAGCACCGCGACATGGACACGACGCGGCCGCTGGCAGCTCATTAAGCCGCGTAATGAGGTCGTCCCTACAGTTAATTATCCCAGAGACGGTTTTCAATGGTTGTGCTCCCGTTCCCTTTTCTCTCTCTCTTTCTTCTTTTTTTCTTTCCTGTTGCGATCGCATCTTGTTCCACCCACTGGGGACCGAGAGCGTAAAATGATTCCACGAACCATTCCGACCCGATTGACGACACCCTAAATCACCCTCGCGGGAGAGTCCTCATTTTCCTCGTTTCCGGTATCAAACGGACATGTAAAAGCTATGGCCGAACTGGAAGTCAGATTATCGATAGCGATGTTAGCAGCGGTGTAAATTTTGTAAACACTTCGAGACGCACTTTGATTCGACGAGACTCTGATTCATAACGGCTGCAAATTAATCCACCACCAGCAATGTTGCACTGAGAAGAAAGTTTAGTAGTAGTTATCAAATATTGAGTGAAATAATTTCAATTAAATGTTTTAGTTAATGTAACCAAAAATAATTTTATTTTTCTAAATATGTAGTAATTATTATTAAACGCTTAGTTATATTATATATATTTGGTAATTCGTACTATTTCTAAATATTTAAAAGTAAAATTTTTTTAGTTATATTAACTGGACATTTGATTGAAATTATTTCACTCAACATTTGGTAGCTATATATTACCAGACTCTTTTTTCGGTGTGAACTTTAAGAATGTATGGGTTACAAAACGTTGTTAAAACTATAAAAATTTCATAAATTGTTCTATTATTACGCCTGAATATTTATGTATAAAATTTGAGTACAATTCTCGTATTGGTTTAAAAATTAATTAATTTTTTTGTTAGTCTTGATTTTTATGTAAAATCGCATTTTATATAATATATACAAATACTTATTTGCAAATTTGATTGGAAAGTAGCATTAAGAATTAAATCAAATTTTAAACATATGTATATGTTGATCAAATAATAATAACTATTCGTGCGAAAGTTTATTTGGATTCATTTATTCGTTTAACAGTTATTGATTTAAAACTGCAGGAAAATATAGTCATTTTACTGCATAAAATCATTATAAATCAAATTATTTGTTTTGCAGTAGGTTTCAGGACACAAATTAATTGGATCAAAATTTTTGGCTGATATTAACTTATTTTGATTATTCTTATATGATAACAAAACTCGTTATTAATCTTTACTAAAAATCTGTACTGAAGTTCAAAAACTCAGGCTGTGGACGAAGGATGAAATTTTCAAATCACTGATTGGAGAATTAATTTTACGAAACGACAAAAACGTCGAGAAGTTCTCTACGAAGTGCTAGTAATTTGGTATTTTTCTTAATTAATTTCTCCCATAAAGCATATATGTTTTATACTGGAAACCGTTTCGGGCACGAAGAGCGCATTCTATTTTGAGATACATAAATTTACAGGGAAAATGCGATAACCACCGCATCTGTCTCCGTTAGTTCAATAACTTCGGCTGTCCATTTTCTCGGCTCTGGAAACGACCGCCAAAAGCGATCTCAATAAACGCGTATCACAGATATATACGTGCCTAGCATCCTGCGGCGGACATGTGCATCTTATTTACGCAGGATTCGAAGCGAAACCGAGTGTCCTGGCGCCTCCGTTAATGATTTACACGTCAAGGGGGCGGACGCGTTGCCGACGCGGAAGGGTGTTCCAGCTGAGGGTGGAGATTACAGATGCGGTTTCTCGACGGTGAAGCGGCTGGCCTACTTCCTTGTTATTACGCGGTCGAATAAATTGCTGTTTGCTTCTTTTGCGGGATGTTTTCCCGGATTAAAGCGGATCATACGGACGCGACGATGGGATACAAAATAACATCACGTCCGCGACATGTGCCGGCCGGTTCGCTGCTGGCGTAAGAAAGATGAATCGGCTGCCAGATAAAAGCGGAGTTGGGCGTCGACAGACATTAAAACGGGATATTAAGATAATAAAATTTAATTAATATTAACCCCTGTTAAATGTTTGTGTTATATAAATTTCGCGTTTGACTCAAGTTAAATATTTAATAATTAAATATTTAATAAAATATTTAAAAATTATAAGGTGATAAAGGCATAAAAATTAAAGTATGGTCTGTATACACTGAAAAAAAATACATCAATTTAAAAAAATACTTGTTTGAATAGAGTTCTAGATAAATATTTATTAAATGTAAACATATATTTATTTGATATCAAAACCGTTAATTTAACTATTATTTTTATTTAATTTAACTATTATTGAATAAATATATATTACTGTAAGTAAATATTTACTTAGTATTATTCAAAGAAGTACGTATTAAGATTTAGTAAAGTCTTTTTCAGTAAAAAGAGTATCTAGGAAAAATTATTTGAAAAGTTATTAAATGCTGCATCGCACTCAATTTAAAATATATAATTGTCCCATATATATTTCTAAGGTATCAGAACAATGAAGTTTACTAATAAAGTTTGACACGAAACGTATATAGATAAATCACGGGAGGGGGGGGGG